CCAACTCTTCAGACAGGGATTGGACTGGACTGTGGGACATAAAGTGATACTTGTGAAGAATGTGCTTCTTAGTCAAGTAGATACAAGAGACCAAAGGGGCGACTTCTGTCCAGAGGTGAGATGGGAAGGCAGAGAGTTAGGAGCTGGTTGAAGGTTCATGGGGAATCAGGGGCGGAGAGTAGGAGTGTGCTTTCGCAGAATGGGTTGAGTGGTTGGAGTCTCATAACAATGTATGTAAAAAAAAAAAAAATTCTGTATGGGAGACTAACTTGAAATGTAAACTTCATTTAATTACAACAATAAAAATTAATTTAAAAGAAAAACAAGAATATCACTCAATATAGTGCTGGAATATGAGCCCTCTAGGCTGGAAGATGCTACACAATAGCCGCAACAATGGACTCATACCAGTGATTATGGCACAGGACAGGGCAGTGTTTCACTCTGTTATGCATAAGGTCACCATGAGTTGGAGCCAACTCGACGGCAACTAACAACAAATAGAAGACAGTGGGAACATGGGACAATGACCGGGATGACTTCATGGGTTAGGGTGAGCTCTGCAGGTGAGAAGTTTGCTAGATGGGTGAGTAGAGGGACTGGTAGTTGCAAAAGATAATAAAAGCAAAGAGGGGAAATGGCAGAAGATGAGGCTGTACAGTTATGCTTAAAATCATTTGAGGACAACCTGTGGGAATGGAATGTGCATTTCTGAGTGAGTGTTCAAGCAGTCCTTCTAGGCAATGTCCTTTTAAGTAGCGATAGCATATGTGTCCTCTCTTGCCCTGTTCCTCTTATGTCAGGGTTTCTCAGCCTCAACACTGTTGACATATTGGGCTGGTGTGCTGTTGCCTTGATAGTTGTGGGGCTGTCCTGTGCACAGTAGGATGTTATAGCAGTATCCCTGGTCTCTACCTGTTAGATACCAGTAGCACTTCCCTCAGTTCTGATACCCAAAAATGTCTCCAGACATTACCACTTATTTCCTTAGGGAGGAGGGAGATTGTTCCTGGTTGAGAACTACTGCCTTAAATCAAATGTTTGAATCCACCCAGAGGCCCCTGGGAAGAAAGTCCTAATCTACTTCTGAAAGATCACAGCCATTGAAAACCCTGTGGAGCATAGTTCTACTCTGAAACATATGAGGTTGCTGTGAGTCTGAATCTACTTGACAGCAATTGGTGATTGGTTAAGTACATTTTGTGTCTCTGTTTAGTCTCTCACTGTAGGAAGATTAATCATCAGAAAGCTCAACTATCATATCACTCTGCTCATATGTGCAGGGGGTTCCCTTCTCTACCCAATAATTGCAAACTTCTGTAGGTACCCAAAGCCCTCCACCACCAGGCCCCATCCTGTGTCTCCAACTTCATTATTCTTTTTTTTTATATTCTCTTCTCCACCCAAATCGAAATACCAAATGTGGGGGTTCCCAAATACCCCTACCCCCACATTTCTCATCCACTTGCTCTTTCTTATATTAGTCCCTGTACCTGCAAAGCGCACCATTCCCATTCCCAGTTACATTGTTAAACCTTGAAGGTCAGACTTGATTGCCACCTTCTCAGTGAAGCCTTACTTCCTTTCCCCTCCTTTGTTTGCTCCAAATCCTCTAACTGTAGCATTTATTTGTGTCTTATTTTCTAGTCCTCTGTGTACAAATGAGAGATGTGACTTTCTTCTTTGTGTTCCCCATATCTCAAAACACCTTGTCTTAGACAAAAGAAAACCAAAGGAAAAAAACGAAACCCGTTGCCATCAAGTCAATTCCACCTTACAGAGACCTTATAGGACAGAGTAGAACTGCCTCATAGGCTTTCCAGGGAGCAGCTAATGAATTGAACTGCCAGCCTTTTGGTTAACAATTGGGCTCTTAACCACTGCATCATCAGGGCTCCTAGACAAAAGAACGAGGTATTAAATGATTGTCAGTTATCCTGAGGCAGGCAGACCATATACCGTGAAACTTTGTTGCCACATTGATACTGGTATCTAAGAAATATTAACACCATTAAAGATACTCAAATTCCTGAGATTGTCAACGTTGATATTGTATAACATAAGAGATTTTTAATATTTTGTTGCTTTGTTTGTTTGTTTTCTTTCTAGCCTGCCTATGAGAATCTGAGACACAGTGTTGACAACTTTGTGTGAACCATTTAGCCACTCATATATGGAGTCCTCATCTCAATAAGAACCAGCTAAGAAACAATATCAGACAGCAAGTCCTCGAGTATTGATATTGTATAACATTAGAGATTTTTAATATTTTGTTGCTTTGTTTGTTTGTTTTCTTTCTAGCCTGCCTATCAGAATCTGAGACAACGTGTTGACAACTTTGTGGTGAACCACTTAGCAACTCATACATGGAGTCCTCATCTCAATAAGAACCAGCTAAGAAACAATATCAGACAGCAAGTCCTCAAGTAAGTCTGAGTTCTAAGCACGTTTTAAAATGTCACAGCTTACTTTGCCTGAAAGCAAAGACATTACACAGAAGTCTGTTCAGTAATGATGTAGACAACTTTATCAGGTTTGGTATGGCTGCTTCATGTGATGCAGTCTAATTTTAGAGTATACTTTAATCGCTTCGTTTCCTGCCCCTAAATTTTAACAGATTATTCCTGATTTTAGATTCCCTTGATTTTAGTCCAGGTTTTCTATCTTCGAAGTATAGCTTTTATTTATTTATTTGTTTTCATTTTACTGTGACTTTTAACTCTTCTGTTTAGTGATGATGTAGCCAAAAAAATGTGTTTGGACCTATCAAAGCCATTTTGGGTAAATGTAACATAAAAAGAATGAAAAGAGCTGGAATGTTTAGGGAAGTCGGAATCTACTTGACAGCAATTGGTTTTGGGTTAAAAAAAAAAAGTTATATTTACTCCAAAACAGATTTAAAATCGTATGCTTGTTCTTGAATGTAAATATTTGCCAAGACCAGAAGATTCGGACCTTCTGTAGCTGCTTTACTGTCCCAATAAGGGTGACTGAGTTATTTAAAAAGTGCCTAGTCTTCCTGCTTTGACGAATATTTACCTTCAAGCACATCTTTGGGAGTTATATGTGGCTTTCAAACAGTTGACTGCTAACCAAAAGGTCTGCAGTTCGAATCTGCCAGCTGCTCCTTGGAAACCCTATCAGGCAGTTCTACTCTGTCCTGTAGGGTCACTGTGAGTCAGAATTAACTCGATGATTTGTTTGTTTTGGTTTAAACAGTTAAACAAGTCTCTTTTTACCTGCCACCCCTTAATTCCCTCCTGCTCCACAGGAACCTTTCACGCATTTCTAGTATGCTTCTCACTTGATAGTTCTGACCCACAGGAAGCCCCACAACTGAAAATCCACATACTGACTAAAAGACGGACCCAGTTAGCCATAGGTAATACAATACACCAAGAGCTTGGGGGCTCAGACTTGTCTCCTGGTGAATAAGAGAGAAGGGAGATTAACGATAGCTTTGTTGTCTGCATTTTAAAGGATGTTTGAAGAACCTGTAAAGGAGTCCAGATGAGAGCCAAAGATGCCATTAGAGGGCTGCTACATCTGTTGGGAAAAGTCAAAGCTGTTTCCTGAAAGCGAAGAGACATTTCTGTGGGGTGACAGGCCTGGAGGGTTACTCATTTCCACCAAGGCCTTCAGGAGAACAATAACCAAAAGAGGTCAGGGGTGTTGGGAAGGGGGAAAGCTGGTGGCGGGAGGCAGACTCTACTGACCACCAAGGGCTTTTTACTCAGCAATTCGCATAGCTGCCTCCTTTCTCATACTCAATTGCATTGCTTTAAAAGCATGTTTTAGGGGCTCCTGCATGCTTTTCTTCATGTGTTGAGAGCCTAAAATGGAAGACAAATTTCCTGACATCGCATTTATCCCTCAGCGCCCAGTCTATAAGGGAAGCAGTCACTTATTCTGTTCCTTTATTTTAAGGAAGCTAAACTAAATGTGTTGTTAGGTGCCATCGAGTGGATTTTTGACTCATCGTGACTCCACGTGACAGAGTAGAACTGCCCCGTCAGGTTTTCTAGGCTTTGATCTTTACAGGAGCAGATCACCAGGTCTTTCTTCTGTGGAGCTGCTGTGTGGGTTCAGACCGCCAACCTTTTGATTAGCATCCAAGTGCCATTGTTCCACCTAGGCTCTTTAAACTAAATATAAACATGTAAAAATCAAGTAGGTAGTTACAATTGTAGGTGTACAAATATCAAACACGGTTATCGCAAAATCATGTTTGCTGAGGGGTTGCTGTACACATTCATGAGGGTTGTTGTAACTGTCAGTGATTAAATACTAGAACATTCTACCGATGGGAAATGAAGAATCTCCTCCAGAGACATTTAAAACAGGGAAAACAATGACCTCCGTAGATAATTTAGGTATTGCTCTTCCTGGGACGTCTGTAAATTCTCTTGGCTGTTATTTATTTTTAAATGAACTATTCTCTTTCGAGATTTCATTAGCAAAGGTCTGTATCACTCATAACATTTTAAAGCTTCCTCAGAGAAAGGGATTAGTTGTGTTTAAATAATGATGTGGAGGATTTGTTGCTGTTAAGTCGATTCTAACTCCTAGTCCCTGTTAACACAGTTTCAAACAGTTTCTCATACATATACTTTGAAAAATACTAAATTGACTTTCTTAGGTTAGACTATATAAAATTGCCATTTTTCTAGGACAGAGACGATCTAAACTAAACTAACTCATTGCCTTCGAGTTGATTACGACTGATAGTGACTAATGCCAACAATTTCGTATGGTTCAATCCACTGACTCAGTCAGGGGAAAAAAATCTTATTCTCCATATGCATTCAGTTGTACAACAAAGTCTGAAAATGCTAGGTAGCTCTGAATAATGATCTTAACAGAATTTAAAATGAAGACAAGGAAATAACTTTAACCAGAAAAATGCCAGCTACTCTCATTTTGGCTTTGCCTTTGAGGCTGGGACATGGTTTCTGCCCTCTTTGGTGAGGCAGCTAGAGTCACACCTCCAGGCAGTGAGCCTAGTAAGAGCAGTATGGTCATTAGCATGGCCTCCATTTTTTGTTTAAGATCAGAGCTGACCTCTGTTGTGACAGAAGATTAAAGTAGAGGTGTTTTTGTTTGTATATTTGTTTGTAGGAAGAGGGGCCAGAAAATGGGCAAACAGACAAAGAGAACAAACAATAACTTGGGGGTGGGTGGGTTTTGTTTGTTTTGTTTTGTTTTTTAATGCCTTTGTGCTACTTGTCCCATAAATCAAAACATTTTTAAGATTGTTTTTCCTGGTTTATTTTCTACCTGCTACATTTTAAAGACACCTGTAAGATGTGGCAGTATTTGCAGGATTTGCATTTTTTGTCTTAGAACTTTAAAAAGCATATAACCTACTTTGTGGTGATTTGACTCATTTTTCTCTATGGCCCACATAAGTAGAATTATAATATCACAAGACTGCAAGGTGCCTCAGGAGATGAAAATCGAATCCATCCTGCACTCCAGACAGACCTACACTCAAAAATAGCATTGTGAAGTATAAGGAGAGTCACCTCCTCACCCATTCTATAGAGAGAGACTGAGGCCTAGCACCTCACCCTTCCAACACTATCGGGACATTTCAATTCCTCACATTTTTTTTAGGAAGAACCAAGGTTTAAGTGCATTTCTTAAAATAAATTCACCTGTGAACCATCTCATAACATGGATGAAACTGGAGGACATTATGCTGAGTGATATAAAGTCAATCACAAAAGGACAAATATTATATGAGACCTCTATTGTAAAAACCCATGAAAAAGTTCATACACAAAATGTAACAATCTTTGTTGGTTACCAGGGATGGGAGGGGTGGGGGGGGAAATACTAAATAGGCAATAGATAAGTGGTATCTTGGGTGAAGGGTGAGACAGTACACAATACAGGGGAAACTAGCACAACGTGTACAGAGAAAGGTCATGGAAGCCTCATAGACACATCCAAACTCCCTGAGGGACTGAATTGCTGGGCGGAGGGCTGTGGGGACCATGGTCTCAGGGAACATCTAGCTCAATTGGCATGACACAGCTTATAAAGACAATGCTCTACATCCTACCTTGGTGAGTAGTGTCTGGGGTCTTAAAAGCCTGTGAGCGGCCATCTAAGATACTCCACTGGTCTCATCCCTTCGGGTGCAAGGGAGAATGAAGAGAACAGGATACAAGGAAAAGATTAGTCCAAAGGCCTAATTGTCCACAGCTACCAAGGCCTCCACTGGACTGAGTCCAGTACAGCTAGATGGTGCCCGGCTACCACCGCTGACTGCTCTGACCAGGATCACAACAGAGGGTTCTGGACAGAGCTGGAGAAGGATGTAGAGCATAATTCTAACTCACAAAAAAAAGACCAGATTTACTGGTCTAGAGGAGACTGGAGAAACCTCGAGAGTATGGCCCCCAGACACCCTTTTAGCTCAGTGGTGAAGTTACCTCCGAGGTTCACTGTTCAGCTTGGGAGTGGACAGCCCCGTAAAACCAAATGAGACTAACGAGGTACAGGAGTCCAGTGACAAGGGCCAGAAGGGGACAAGAAAGCTGGTGATAGGGAACACAAGGTTGAGTAAGGGTATTGTTGATGTGTTGTGAGATTGTTAACCATTGTCATAGGGCAACATTTGTAGTAACTGTTAAATGAGAACCTATTTTGTTCTGTAAGCCTTCATCTTAAGTGAGAATAACAGCACAGTTGGAAGAGTGTAGTCAATGTCACTGAACTGTGTATGTAGAAATTTTTGAAATGGTGTATCTTTGGCTATGTGTATTTTCACCAAAAAAAAAGGTTGAGAATTAAGAGGGTTAATACGTTGTGGGGTTGTTAACCAATGTCATAAAACAACATGTGTACTACTGTTTCATGAGAAACTATTTGTTCTGTAAGCCTTCACCTGAAGTACAATAAGATATTAAAATAAATAAATAAATAAATTCACATTCTCTTATTTTACTCAGACACCTTTGGTTTTCTGCCCATTTCAGACATCGCTGTCCTCTTTGCTCCTTTGTCCCTTGTATGTGCTATGTAACCTGGAGCACCTTTGTTGCCCTTCTCTTCTATGGATATCTAGATCCAGCTCAATTGTCTCCTCCTCTGTGAAGCAGATTATATTATCCCAAATTATCTTAGACACATTTAATAATGTATTACTCCTGTCTTTTTCTATAGTACATGGTACATATTTTAGTTGAATTGTTTATGTCTACTTTCCCCCACCAGAACAAGGAACAGGTCTGATTTGTAGCTAAACAGGTGGCCAGTACTCGTTAAAAAAAAAAACTCATTGCTATCGAGTCGATTTCGACTCATAGCGACCCTATAGGACAGAATAGAACTGCCCCCATAGAGTTTCCAAGGAGCGCCTGATGGAGTTGAACTGCCAGCCTTTTGGTTAGCAGCCGTAGCTCTTAACCACTATGCCACCAGGGTTTCCATGGCCAGTACGGTGCCTGTTATATAGAAGCCACTCATAATGTAACAGTTGAATGAATAAATCGTCCAGTTTTTATAGCAAGAAGACAATAAAAGGAAAGCCAGAAGTCTTAACTTTCATTTCTGTTTGCCTAATTTTCTTTTTTCTTTTTAGTATGATGAAATTACATTTTGTGTTCTTCAGCTTACGTGCAGACTCTAATGCTTATAAAAGACATGTTTTTCTGCTTTTATAAAAGTTACAGAGTCCATAGTTTTATTTCATACCCAGAACTCAGCCTTAGTGATAGTTTATCCCTATATGCCACAGGCATGGCTGGGGTGAAATAAGCATCACATATATTCCCGGGCTCTGTCTACTATGCTTAGTTTTAAGGGTGTTTTTGTTGTTGTTGTTTTGTGTGTTTTAGAATTTCCAGCAGTGACAGCAATAGAAAGATTATAGACTTTTTTGTAGTATGGTATACCTAAATGCTTCTACAGCTTAAAACTTATTTTCCATTGCTTATTCTGTGCATCTGTCTGGATGAATGCATCAGGCCAATTTAAGATTGAACATATATATACCAGTGATAGTTTTAAAGTATTTAATGTAAATAATATTAAATTATTTTTCCACCCTTAAATTGTCCTGTGTTTCAGGTCAGGAATGTTGGAGTCTGGTATTGACCGAATCATTTCTCAGGTTGTGGATCCAAAGATCAACCACACATTCAGACCTCAGGTGGAGAAAGCTGTGCATGAGTTTTTGGCCACGTTAAATCACAAAGAGGAAGCAAGTGCCAGTACAGCTCCCGATGATGAGAAGCCAGATTCTTCCATCATTATACAAGGTGGTTTGCTTTTACTCTTGGTCAGTTCCATTGCTTTTGTTCTTTGCACTGAGGATCAAGTTAGGGGTATTTGGTTCCTTAAACATTTCCTTGTTTGGCTATCTAGCAAAATTGAATTTACTTTAAATATCACCCAGATTCCTAAACTGGCATAACATCTTATTTTATATTAATACAAATAATAAGCATCTTAGTAGTGTGTTGTGTGTGTGTTGTGTGTATGTTTGCATTTTAATAGAGGGAATAATTAAAATCATTAGAGAATATGTTCTCTTTTTGGGTACTAGACAGAAGCTTCACGGATTTGCATAGTGCCTTTCCTAAGATACTGTTAGAGAGGTAGAGAATTTAGAATATATTGTGTACTGCCACTTGTACCTGAAAGTCTAAAGGAACATGAATGATCTGCACAGCGTGTGTATCATGTAAAGATGATAGTGACATGTAACGTTATTCAGCAAAGGTGTTTACCTTCTGCATAAATTTATTCGAAAACGTGTCTTTCCCTCTAAGGTATCCCTGCTCCTGGGCCCAGTGCTAATGTAGCTAATGATGCCATGTCAATCTTGGAAACCATAACTTCTCTTAACCAAGAAGCTAGTGCTGCCAGGGCCTCAACAGAAACGTCCAACTCCAAGGCCAATGAGAGAGTATACAAAAAACTGCCATTTCAACCAAGCACCGATATTAATACTGAAAAAGACAGAACTTCAGAGGATGTGGCTGATAAAGAGAAATCTCCCCCTGACTCTGCAGGGGAAGGACTGGAAGCAGCCCCTAAGTCCGAAGAATCCAATGACTTCCCTGGTCCAGTTGAAGAAATTAAAAATCATGCAAAAGAGAATAATAGTTTAATTCTGGTCAGTAAGGAAGTTCAACAGGAAGGCAGTGACCAAAAAAATAAATCAACAGACAAAGGTGAAAAGAAACTCGATAGCAATGAGAAAGGAGAAAGAAAGAAAGAAAAGAAGGAAAAGACTGAAAAGAAATTTGATCACTCAAAAAGGAGTGAAGAGATGCAAAAAATAAAAGATGAAAAACAAGTAAAGGAAAAAGAAGTAGAGAGTTCAAAACTTCCTACAGAAAAGAACAGTAATAAAGCTAAAACTGTTGAAGGAACAAAAGAAGGTATGTAAAAACTTGCAAAAGATCTACATTAGTTTACAGAACAAAGGGTATCTATTTGGGGATATCCCATATTTGCGTGTCTTCAAATTTTAGTAAATTTATTTGATAATTGTTTTAAAACTCTGAAAACTTAGAATCCCCTTTGTTAAAAAAAGAACAGCAAACATTTGTATATTTCTTTTCTACATTAATGTACCAGTTCACAAAGTGAATAAACTGAACAACTCTGAAATTTTATCATTTAAGTCTTATAACTTCTCATATGCATTATTCCACCCAGCTTTATTCATAATTGTACAGTAAAACCTGTGAAAGGTGGAACCTGTGTAAAATGGAAACTGTCAGAGAAGGAAAACTCAAAATATTTTCCACTAATACGGAGAGATGGAAAAGTGTTTAATGCTGCACTCTGTCAAAGGCAGAAGACCTGCAAGACCCAGAAAAACAAGGCAGTTTCACCAAGTTCCAGCTCTCACAGGTTTCACTGTATCTCCTGTTCTTTAAAATATTAAATGGTAAATATCTCACTCAAAACTTGCTTTTGTTTATATCACACCTTAAATTAATTGTTTAGTTATATTTGCAGGATACTAATGTACCTTTGTATTTTTTAGAAACAGCTCTATGTTGTTTGATAATAGTTGATAAGACAGATTTTTCATTTCTGCAGTTGAATTTCTTTGATGTGTATTTGAAGCAGAAAATTTTAAATGTAAGTTCAGAATTAGGTTCTGAGTCTGTTCTAGTAACAAGCTGATTTAGTTTGTGTTTGATTTTATTCCTGAAGATTGCTCTCTGGTAGATTCTGATGTGGATGGACTTACTGACATCACAGTTAGCTCTGTCCATACCAGTGATCTTTCATCTTTTGAAGAAGACACTGAGGAGGAAGTTGTAATGTCTGACAGCACTGAAGAAGGCGAGATTACATCAGATGGTAAAACATTTTACTTAATAATGCCTCTGTGAAGTTTCCCATGGAGCATTATTTGTGTATACAGATGACTCTGTCTTGAAAAACAGTGTGGTATAGTGGCAGAGCATGGGACTTTGTAGTGGGAAGATTTGTTTCTGAGTCCCAAAATCTGAGGTTTCTCTTGGAGCAAACTTGGTAAGTCACTAAACCTTAATAAGCCTTGGTTTGTCCATCTTTTAACTCCACCCATGGAATTACTGTAAGACTTAGATGAGATCGTGCATATGAAGATACTTTTTGTTTGTTTTTAAGCTCACTAATAAGTGCTTGCTGTGTTCCAGGCACTGTGCTAAGGGCTTTTATGTGATAACCTATGTAATCTTCACAATAACTCTGTGAAGTAGGTACAAGCAAGGAAACAAAGTCACGGAGAGTGTGTGTCTTGTCCAAGGTCACACAGCTAGTGAGCACCAGCCTGTTTCACACCTGAATCTATGCTACCCACCACTTATGCTACTCTTTGCCACATCATTCAGTTGGCATCAAAAACCAAAACTGCTGAATATTATTTGCAGTTGCCTGTTCATAGCATTTTGTAAATTTGCTGTTCTCTTTTGGATAGGATCCCTAGGGATATTATAGAGGAGAAAAAGTAGAAGCAAAAACAAAGGGAAGGAGGATTTATTTTTTTGATGCCACAGATGTGTCTCAATCTCGCCTATCTTTCATTTTTTTCTTAGTATCCATGAAAAAAATCAAAAGGCCACAGTAATAGCGCTCCCTACCCAAATCTGTCCCCATGAGGCCAGTTCCGTAGTGTCTACCTACAGAGAATGCTGCTCATGTTGGGAACACTGTACTTTCATTTACCTAAATAAAATATTCTAACTCTGGATGTTTTCATATATTTTTTTAAGTTTTTTTTTTTCCTGAGCAGGATTGGATTTTATATGTACGGGTGGATTTTATATGTATGAGATCCAAAAAGTAAGAAGATGGCTGTTTTAGGAGTGCTGAGTAGTAGGAAAGTAACTGTGGTGGTGCAGTGGTTAAGCGCTCAGCTGCTAACCAAAAGGTGGTTTGAACCCACCAGATGCTCCGCAGGAGAAATGTGGCATTCGGCTTTTGTAAAGACTACAGCCTTCGAAACCCTAGGGGGCAGTTTTACTCTAACCTATAAGGTCACACTGAGTCAGAATCCACTAAATGGCAACGGGTTTGGTTTTGGTTTTAATGCAGTAGCAAATGAAAACTTTGTTTGCATAGTATCCTCCTTCTTGCGGTATCACTGGGGAAATAAATCCGCCTTCCTAGTGTAGAGGGGTTTTAGAGTATACTTGGTATAGGGCCACATATTGATTCCTGCTTCTTCCTTAAATGAGACACTAGCAGGTAGTCGTTAAAATCTTAAGTTTACTTTAAAGAAAGGCTTCAAGTGAACTTCTTCAACTTAACAGTGGTAAAGCATTCATATCAAGTCCACTGACATACAAATGATAATTCACTGTTTCTCAAGAGAACATGTCATTAGGTGCTGTTGAATTGGTTCTGACTCATAACAACCCCAGGTACAACAGAACAAAACATTGCCCGGTCCTGCACCATCCTCACACTTGTTGCTATGTTTGAGCCGATTGTTGCAGCCACTGTGTCAGTCTGTCTCATTGAGAGTCTTCCTGTTCTTCACTGACCCTCTACCTTACCAAGCACAATGTCCTTCTCCAGGGACTAGCCCCTCCTGATAACATGTCCAAAGTATGTGAGACAAAGTCTCACCATCATCGCTTCCAAAGAGCACTCTGTACTTCTTCCAAGACAGACTTGTTCATTTTTCTGGGAGTCCACAGTATATTTAATATTCCTCACCAACACCATAATTCAAAGGTGTTAATTCTTCGGTCTTCCTTAGTCTTAATCTAGTTTTCTCATGCATATGAGATGATTGAAAGTATCATGGCTTGGGTCAGATGCACCTTAGTCCTCAAAGTGATGTCTTTGCTTGTTAACACTTTAAAGAGTTCTTTTGCAGCAGATTTGCCCCGTACAATACATCATTTCATTTCTTGACTGTTACTTCCATGGGCATTGATTGTGGATCCAAGTAAAGTGAAATCCTTGACAACTTCAGTATTTTCTCCATTTATCATGATGTTACTTATTGATCTGCTTGAGAGGATTTTGTTTTCTTTATGTTGAGGTGTAATCCATACTGAAGGCAGTGGTCTTTGATCTTCATCAGTAAGTGCTTCAAGTCCTTCTTGCTTTCAGCAAGCAAGGTTGTGTCATCTACATTTGCAGGTTAATGAGTCTTCCTCCAATCCTGATGCTGCATTCTTCTTCATATAGTCCAGCTTCTTGGGTTATTTGCTCAGCATACAGATTGAATAAGTATGCTGAAAGGCTACAACCCTGAAGCACACCTTTCCTGATTTTAAACCACGTAGTATCGCCTTGTTCTGTTCCAACGACTGTCTCTTACTCGGTGTACACATTTTGCATGAGAACGTAAATAACATCTAATTTTTCTTTGCCTTCCTCCTTTGTGTTTGAGAAACTGATTGTTAAGAAGCAAGGTATAGATTAAAGCCTTTACAAATGTCAATTTCTGAATTTTCACTTACTGATATTACCCTTTTGGGCCTACAAATACACTTGAACTACGTCGATACTGTGTTTGATGCTTATACAGCATAATGCTGATTTTATTACTAATTTTCAAAAGCACTCCTCTTTCTATTGACTTTCTTCCAGATGAAGAGAAGAGCAAACTGAATAAAACACAAACTCAAACTAGTGATCCTAGCGAAGGAAAAGCAAAAGGCGTACGACATGCTTATGTCCACAAACCATATCTTTACTCCAAGTACTACAGTGATTCTGATGATGAACTTACTGTAGAACAACGACGACAGTCTGTTGTAAGTCAGATTTGATCTGTTATTTTTTTGGCCTACTAAATGAGGTTGACAAACGAATAGTCTGTGCAAGGCACTCATTAGCTTACAAAGCAGTTACATCCTGTCTCTGCCTTTAGGAATCTTGTCATTTAATTAGGGAGCTTAGACATGAACTTACAGTTGAGGTGTGCATCTCATCATCATTAATAGTGAAAAACTGGTAACCACCTAAATGTTTCATGGAATGGAAAGGTTTGAATCAAGTCATACAAAGAGACATAATGGTTTAGAGCCATTTATATAATATTAAGAAGAAAGGAAATACAGTCTACATTATTTCCTGGATTTGAAAGTGCTTCTAGTTGTAATATCTGCCACTGAATTAATACCAGCTTTTTAGAGGGAAAAATAAAAAAAATGCTACCTCATATACATGTGGATCCCAATTTCACAAACATTAAAATATGAAAAGTTGTGCATCTTAGAATGAGGAAATACTACCACATAGAAAAAAGATTTGAGGAAAATACACCAAAATGCTAATGGTGGTTACCAGTATTATTTGTGATTTTTTTTTTTTTTAATAATCCTATTTTATATTTGGAGCCTTGGTGGTGCAGTGGTTAAAAACTTGGCTGCTGACCCATGGGTCGTCAGTTTGAATCCACCAGCTGCTCCTTGGCTCCTTGGGGTAGAACTGCCGTATGGGGCAGTTCTACGCTGTCCTGTAGGGTTGCTGGGAGTTGGAATCAACTCAACGGTAGTGAGTTTTTTTGTTTTATTTTGCATTTGCTAAAGTTTGTATGATGAACATCTATTTTATGATAGGAGGATAGGGTGCTTTTTTTCGTTTATATAAGAGATATCCCAAGGGAATAAAAGATGATTGCTAAGTTAATACTATAAGATGAGGTAAGAAATACTCTGCTAAGGTTTTGTTGTATCCATCATTCCACAAATTTTTTTAAGGGTCTGTTACAAGTAGGTCCTACACAAGAGCTCCGTGGGGACCCTGAGAGGAGAAAAGGTGACTTAGTAGCCACCTTTCTGGAGCTTTCAGGCCGGTGGTCAGGGAAGGTTTCCCAAGGAGGTTGAAGTTGAGATAAATGTTAAATATTTCTAATTTATTTAGAGGAGGAACTTCTAAGAGGGCAGGAAAGCATGCAAAGAGCCCCGTGATGAGTAAGTCTAGACTAGGTTGTGTGAATGGTGAATCAACCCATTGACTCAACAAGAGGTTTGTGTTGAAAAGCCAGGAAGTGATAGGAGAAATCTTTTATCTTTCGCAAAAGTACTATGAAAAGTATTGGATAAAAAAGTCAGCCACTTGTTTAATCTGTACCATTTTAATATTTTTAAAAATAAAGAGTATCGAAAATAGAATCTTGATTGTGGATTTGAGGAGTCGGGGCCTTTTAGTTGCCCTGGGGAGCAGGGTATCAAGGTAGTCTCTCATCACCACTTTGCCATGAAGGATTATAAACCAGCCTAGTAGGGAGCAGTCTGTAGCAGTAGATGCCAATGCAGTCTTTTGTGAGGCCTTGGGTGAAACCTTGCTCAATTGATAAAAACCTCAGTGAACAGCATGCTTTGTTTCTCTGCCTTCATATCATGCTTATCTCCTGAAAAGGTTACTTGGTCAGGAGTTACACTGCCCTTAGGGCTTTTGGCACTTTGAGGCTTTAAGCTCTGGCCGGGAAAGGGTGATGGGAGTAACACAATGACTGTGCATTCTCCCTGGCTTTAAAATGTTGTTGCTATTGGGTGCTGTCATGTCAATTCTGACTCACAGTGACCCTGTATGTCAGAGTAGAACTGCCCCATAGGGTTTTCTAGGCTGTAATCTTTATGGGAGCAGATCGCCAGATCTTTTACCCGTGGAGCTACTGGGTGAGTTTGAACAGCCAACCTTTTGGCTGATAGCTGAGCACTTAACCGATGCACCACCAGGGCTCTTTGGCTTTAAAATAGACCAGCAGAAAGTTCCAAAGCCTAGATCCTGAGAGTATAACCAGCAAGTCATATTTGTTGTGGGACTAGCCTGTCACTTGAATCTGAATTTTAACTTTTTCCTTTAAGAATAATTGAGAAGTTATAGAGACCTCCCTATATACCCTTGATGCCCTTTATTTTCATGGCTGTTCTTTTGACTGAAGCAGCCAGTTTACCAAACCACCCTTTCCTTTCTTTAATGGCATTCTGAAAAAGTTGTGGAAATTTTTCACATCTGTCTCTTTTATTCTTCTGGTAGCTTCCAAATTCTGGAAAAGTAAGTATAGTGAAAAACGTGTGTGTTTATGCACATGGTGTAAACACACTTTGCTGAGTCCATTAATTGGTGAGAACATTTGAAAACTAAAACTTTTCCTTATAAAAATTTCTCAGCATATTTGTTTTTCAGAGTGTTTTGCCTGATAATCTGTCAGGATAATTGTGAGTATTTTGTGCTTTTAGGCTAAAGAAAAAGAAGAGAGACTATTAAGAAGGCAAATTAATAGAGAGAAACTTGAAGAAAAGCGAAAACAGAAAGCAGAAAAGACAAAATCTTCAAAAGCCAAGAGTCAAGGTATAGAAGATGCTAACCTTTGATAGTTTGGACTATACTGTATAGTCCATTATTTTCTAGGTGCTCGTATTACTTATGAGAGATGTTATGTTGGTAAAATAACACCTTTTTTTCAGGTGTGGAAAGTTTCCTTATTTTTCATTCTATTAGGTTTAGTCTTTTTTTTGTTTTTGATAAATTGCTCTGTTGTTGTTATTAGATGCTGTCGAGTCAGTTCTAACTCATAGTGACCCTGTGTACAACAGAACGAAACACTGGCCAGTCCTACACCATCCTCACAGTCACTGTTATGCTTGAGCCCATTGTTGCAGCCATTGGGTCAATCCATCTGGTTGCAGAAGACCCTCAGAGAGATATTGCTCTGTCTAAATTAAACATTCTGTCAAGTACCAGCTCACTCAACTCACATGTTAACAGTTCATTTTCCAGTGATTATAGAATGAACTGTCATTGGAAAATGAATTGTTAACATGTAAATAACCGAGGCTTATGATGTTAATGGAGTTGATTTATGTTTTACAGTAAATAAAATAATGCCAAACATATATCTGGACTATTGGTTTGAACACAGTTGAACTCCCTCTGGGCACTGATCTTGTGTAATATATGCAAATACATACACTCAACCGTATGTGGAGATATACTTATTTATTTAAAATGTTAGTATTTTTGTTTGCCTTTACATAGCATGATCATTTCAAGTAGAAAAGATAAGACTTCTCCATCTAAAATATTTTTACTCCAGCATAACCTTAGGATATTGACTAAAGCAATTTCTCATGTTTTGCAATGATGAGAAAATCTTAATGGAAAATAAATATTACATTGTTTATAAGACTGTGTTCTGAAATATAGTTTATTGGTTGCTTTTTCCTAGGCAAAGGTAGTGTCGACCTAGAAGAGTCATCTGCCAAGAGTTTGGAACCCAAAGCCCCCAGAATTAAAGAAGTCCTTAAAGAACGGAAAGTTTTAGAGAAAAAAGTAGCCTTAAGTAAAAAAAGAAAAAAAAATTCAAGGTACATATTTTATCTGGCCACGTTCCCATTGTAATGTCCTCCCTTTATATTCATGTACTAGAGGCATTGAAAACGACAGCGTAAAGAGCCATACCTTTAATATATGCATTACTACGTGATTATGAAGAACCTTAGGGTTTCATTTGTAGTGTCATAATCTATTGTGTTAATATCTATAACATTCCAAAGTAGTATATCTTAACTTTTTTTGGGTCCCAGACCTCTTTGATAATCTGATGAAAACTTTGGACCTTCTTCCCAGAAAAAGTACATGCATACACACACAATTGTACCTAGAGTTTCAGAGAATTGTAGACCCGCTGCAATATGTCCATGGACCTCTAGAAACATATGGAAGTATCCTTGTTTTGGATATTCAGTAACAATTTATTTACAATGACTGCATCCATTCTCCAGTCTTTTCAGGCAGCTGTCTTTACCTGTATTCCATGCTTCTCCTTTAAACCAAAGGTTTGAGCCACATTCTTTTTTGCTACTGCATTATTATGGTCAATTCTATAAGAAATAGAAAGCCAAAGAGACCCTGAGAGTAGCTATGAAGTCTTACGAGTCCTAGGCTGAAATTTTGTTGTTTCATTGAAGTACAATTTTATAATTTATCATAGATTTCAAGATAGCTGAACCAATAATTTGTATAACGCAGTGAGAAGAGTTAGCTGTCAGTTTCCTTACCATTTTACTTCATTCCTGTTGATCCGAACAAATGAGACTACCCTGTTTTCACCAAAAAGAAAAAAGAGCTAAGACTATACAGTAGGCTTTCAAAATGTAATTGTGGCCCATAAAGATATTCAACCCTTCAAGCAGCAAATCGGGACCTTTTGTTTCAAGGATACTTTCCTTTTGCACCAGTAGCAGTGTGTTCATGCCATATTTGGGGATCATGTACTTTGCTGTTGTAACAAGTCACCATTTATGGATTAAGTGTTTATTGTAAAAGAAAGCATTTTTATTATTTTTTTAAATCTTACGAAGTCTTATATTTGAATCAAACAAACTTCATGTTTAACTTTTTTTTTTTTAACTTGCTTAGGAATATTGAAGAAAATTCTAAAAAGAAACAGCAACCTGAGGAAGATTCCAAAGAAACCCTCAAACCAAGTGAGGTGTGTCTTAATCAGTAAAACTTCATTTAAATAAAATGCTCTTTTGTTAGATATAGGTCATTCAGTCCTTTGGAAGAAAATTTAGAAGACAATTTGATCTTTTCCAAGTTGAATAGAAACTCCCTTACATTCAGGATTCTTGAACTCCCATTTTGTTATATTCTGAATTCCTCATTTTGGTGAGTTGATATATGTGGTCTTTTGCCTAGGTAATAACAGCTTTTCTGCTTTCCTTTTTTTAACCTTTTTTTTTCTGTTTCTTAATTGGTAATTACAAAATTACCAGTAACAATGATAAAGGGGAAAATACCTAAAATTCCTCTACCATAACTAACCATCTGTCTTACTTGCATTCATTCCTTGTCCACATGTGTACATAATCTAGAGTGGATATAATCTAGAAAAAAGTTTTTAACATTCCGTTTTAGTCGTTTCATGTCACCTTGCACGTTGTAAGCTTCCTAGTGATTATACTTAATGATTGTATATATAATATTGAATGGATATACCATAATTTACCAAAGCATTTACTTATAGTTGAGCATTTAGGTTGTTTCCAAGATTTTATTATCATCTTAAATAGTAGCAATATGTACCATGAATATATTTCTTCCATTTTTCGGATTACTTTCTTAGGATAAACTTTCAGTTTTTGCTGTGTTTAAATCGTTATTTATATTACCTATTTATAATGCTGTAGCTGACATTTCTGGGGAAGGGGGGCTAATATCTTAGTAATTATTCATAACCAGTAAGCAGTTTTTATTTCTTTAAAAATATTAGAGACATATATAGAAGTATATTCTCATGTTTTAATGGCATATTTTTTAGGTATTTTATGTTAAAATTATATTTTGAAAATCTTATAAACTTTTATTCACATGTAATCACTTAGAATTTGTTGTAAGTGATTTATTTGTAAAATTTATTTATTGTAAAATTCCAAGTGATTACATGAGGGGTATTCACTAACTAGGTAGTAGACAAGAATTATCTTAGGTGAAGGGAAGGACAGCACACACTACAGGGGAAGTCGGCACAACGGGACTAAACCAAAGCTAATAACTTTCCTAAATACAACGAAACACTTCGAGGGATGGAGTCGGAGGGGCAGGGTTCTCAGGACCGTCGTTTCAGGGGACATCTAGGTCAATTGGCATAACAAAGTTTATTAAGAAAACGTTCTGCATCCTGCTTTGGTGAGTGGCATGTGGGGTCTTAAAAGCCAGCAAGCGGCCATCTAAGGTACATTAGTTGGTCCCAACCCACCTGGAGCAAGGAGAATGAATAACACCAAAGACACAAGGAAAGTATTAGCCCAAGAGACAGAAAGGGCCACATAAACCAGAGACTTCATCA